GAAAATTCAGAAAAGCTTAATAACAAAGGCTAATGGGCACATCCCTCGTTCACTGCAAAATTAGCAGGGAATCACATGTAATGAAGCGAGTTTACAATACTTCCGACAACACTGTACTATCCCCATCTAAGAGAAAGTCTATATCACAGACTAGGAAAGCAGGAACTGAGACGATTGTATAAGATACCTAGTAGTCCACATCCAGAAATAAACTAAAATGAAAGCAACTGACACATCTATGACATTACATTTAAAAATGGTATCAAGAAATGCATGACGCCATCCAACCTCCGGAAATATGATAGCGTTTGAACGGGATCATGTCGTGCTATACAATGCCAATGATGCAAACTAGTACCATAAAAGATGATGTGGATTTATTGAACAAGCTGCTGCATAGAAACAAATCTACTTTTCTGTATCAATACTTCTTGTTCTTGCAGTCGTTGTGTTCTTGCTTCAAGTGTTTCTTCTTCCTGCTCATTTGCTTTTCTTTTCCGTTTCTTTCTTTCCGATGTATGATGCGCGTCATCAGTTATACTGACTCCATGAATCAGTTCTATCGTCGATGTCTCTTCGGCTACCACCTCCCTCGATTGCTTCTTTGCACCAGTAAAACGCTGTGCTGGCATTACCGGATGTTTCCGTGATTGCGGGTCAGATTCATCGTCATGTTCATTTGCAATATTTTCTTGAGCCTCATTTACACGACTCTTGACAAGCTAAAGTAGAAATATATCGTTTCGCTGTAAAGGAAACTGTCAAATACTTAGCAATAATCTAAGTGCAAAAGCAATTTTTTTGATAAAACAGCAACATAACAGTCAAAATTGAAATATTTAAAGAAAGTAAGATCCATAACCCTTGTCTAAAAAACCACATGATCTTATTCATATAGCATAGTACAAATAAGCCCACAATTAATAATAAAACAATACACGAAACGCATCAATCCACGCTATTGCTGCTAGCCAGCACCACTCGGCATTTGAGCACCGTACTTCTAGGGACATTTCTCATCATTAAAGGAAACGTTTTACTTGCCATCGGAGTAATCAGAGTTGCTCGATCTGCAGAGCATCTAACTCAAAAACACCAGGTACCGAGTGCGAGGTCTGGTCGGAGTTTCTCGCCCTTTCTCCATCCTAAGTTGATAAGTGAGCACTACGCGGTAGAAAGGAAACAGGAGACTACACAACATGTTTGCCAATTAGCTGCGGTCGACTAAGCCTTTAAAATAATGCACTCCTGGATGATGGCATGGAAATAGAGAGCAGAGCCCAATCAACAGTTTCACGAAAAGAAGGGCAGAAGAAATGGTCCCATCATGAAAGTGTGAGGAAGACCGATATTCACCATCACTAGGAAGAGTTTTGGCAAAAGCAAAGGCCCTTCTTTGTTCGGCCCAGCTTAGTGATGCAATTCTGCATCCATGCACTGCAGGTGCTCAAATACCACGAGGCATGGCCTGCTTAAACGGTCTCC